TATTGTAAGCTGGCAGTAGGCAGAAAGACTAGCAAGCCCAGCTGCTGATTAAGAGAGGCGGAAAAAAATTCCTTGCATTGCGCAAGGTGACTGCCCCTCTATTCTACATGCAATGAACCTGAGTGATACTGAGGTGATACATTGACATTTAAGGAGAACTTGTTAAATGATAGTAAACCAGACCTTGACAGCGGATTATTGCCTGGGCGTATAAAAAGATCGTGATGGTGAATTAGTGGACATCTTGAGGGTGAAAATAACTTACCGTGGTTTTTAAAAGGACAAGAAAGGGGAACTTGATGTGAGCTATATATATTAACTAGAACAAGGCCCTTTAGCTTCTAGAATGCTTAAGCAATAAAGCCAATATCACTAGGTGAAACACCAAAAGTCAGAAAAAGAAATATCTCATCAGATGAATAAATTAGATGGCGGTAGTGAATTCTCCAATTCTTAGAAAACCCGTAAAAATGCCACGTAAAAAATGAACTAATCAGCAAGGGAAACAATATAATGGCGAAAACAGACCCTAGGAAAGGACAGAAATCCATCTTATGCAGAAATAAAGGCAATTGTGATGCGGCCGTCTATATCGGAACAGTAAAGCGAAAGCATTTGGAAATACCTGTTCAGTTAGCAACTTTTATTACTGGTATTGCGCAAAAAAAGCTTGGAACAAGGCGATCAAAAACACCTAAGCATTACCTGGATCCAGCAAACGCAAAGCCACGAATGTATTGAGGCTTGAAGAATGCCGCGAACATTGGCTTGCAATGCAGGATGAGAGGCAAAATGGAGTCAATAAGTACAGTTTGGGGAAAAATGTAATTGCAATGCAATGTTAATTGAATGAGAAAAGAGACTTGCATGTCATATTTTTGGATTTAGCAAATGCGTTTGGTTCAGTGCCACACAGCCTTATTTGGGAGGCATTTGATTATTTTAGAGTGCCTGGAGTAGTGGTTAAGTTGGTAAGGTCGTATTTCCAAGACATTAGACTATGCTTAAGTACAGCAGACTTTACGACAGGGTGGCAGAGGCTAGAAATAGGCATTATGGCAGGGTGCACGATTTCTCCATTGGCATTCACAATGGCGATGGAGGTAATCATTAGAGCTTCTAAGTGGGTTGTAGGTGGAGAGAGGCGGCAGGATGGGATGCGCCTTACACCAATTAGGGCCTACATGGATGACATGACGTTGATAACTACAACGGTGCCATGTATGAAAAGAGTACTTGAGAGACTTAATAAAAACTTAAAGTGGGCTAGTATGAAAATTAAGCCTAGTAAGTCTAGAAGTATCTCATTAAGTAGAGGGAAGCTAAGTGATAGGAAGTTTGTAATAGACGAAGAGGAAATTCCAATAATTAGGGAAAAATCAGTAAAGAGTCTAGGTAGGTGGTACAAGGCAGACTTGAATGACGGAGAACAGGTAGTGCAGTTTCGGAAAGATGTTGCTGAGGGACTGGATAGAATAGATAAATCAGGGCTTCCAGGAAAGTTGAAGTTGTGGTGTCTGCAGTTCGGGTTATTTCCCAGACTGATGTGGCCACTGTCTGTATATGAGATTCCATTATCTGCTGCAGAAAAAATGGAAAGATTAGTTAGCTTTTACATTAGGAAGTGGCTAGGTGTTCCTAGATGTTTAAGTACGGTGGCACTGTATGGGAAAGGCATACTTCAGCTCCCAGTAACTAGTCTAGTGGAGGAGTTTAAATGTACTAAGGTTAGGACAGAGCTCCTGTTATCTGGGAGTAAAGATGTGGTAGTCAGTAAGGTGGTTCCAAACCCAATCAAGGGGAGAAAGTGGAATCCAAGAATGGCAGTGCAGGAGGCAGAAGCAACGCTCAGGCATACAGAGATTGTGGGTAATGTCCAAATAGGCCGGGGAGGCTTGGGGCTTGGCCCAGGCAAACCGGTGTGGAGTAGAGCAGGTCCCAAGGAAAAGAGAAAGCTAGTGGTGGAACAGGTTCGTAGACAGGAGGAGATATTAAGGGGTGCAAAGGCAGTGGCTCAGGCTAAGCAGGGACAGTGGTTGAATTGGGAAGGTGTAGATAAGAAAAAGCTTAGCTGGAAAGAGCTGTGGAGTATGGAGGAAAGTAGCATTAGATTTTTGATAGGGGCAACATATGATGTATTGCCAACTCCCCAGAACCTAAAACTCTGGGTAAATGGAGACCCGCTATGTTCATTGTGTTCAGGTACTGCAACTTTAAAGCACATTTTGTCAGGCTGTAAGGTTAGTCTGTCGCAAGGCCGGTATACGTGGCGACATAACCAGGTTTTAAAAAGCTTAGCTGCAGGAATTGAAGATTTACGGAGGCAGGCAAATTTAGGAGGGTCTAAAATAAAGAGAGTTGCAATCAAGTTTGTTCAAGAGGGAGAGAAAGTTGGTAAGACAGCAAGGAGGCAAGGCAGCTTAGAGGATGCTTGTGATTGGGAAATGCAGGTAGATTTAGGAGGAAAGCTTGTTGTTCCCCAGGAAATAGCCAGTACAAAGCTAAGGCCTGACATAGTCTTGTGGTCTAGGAGTAGAATGAAAGTATATTTCATAGAGCTGACTGTTCCGTGGGAGGCTTCAGTTGAAGAAGCATATGAAAGGAAAAAGCTCAGGTATGTAGAGTTAGGGGCAGAAGCAGAGCAGCGAGGATGGAAAGTTAGGATTTGTCCAGTGGAAGTAGGATGTAGAGGATTTGTAGCAAGGTCTGTTGTCTCTTTGGTGAGGGAGTTAGGAGGAAGTGGACAGAGTGTGAGGAAAATAGTAAAGGACATGTCAGATGAGGCAGCAAGATCCAGTCAG